AAAGTGTATACGAGAGGCTGACACGTAGAGTCACTATGTAGCCGCTTGTATCAAGGCGTGGCTCAGCAGTGAACAGAATACGAGGCAGTTGAAAAGTGGATAAAGAATAAACATTAGTTGTCGTTTTTTTATTTACCGGTAAGATCGCGTATAACATCTATTATTTGTAAACAGTGTATAAAGGGAGAATATTTAAATAAAACAATAAATAAAATTAACTTTATTTACAGAGAAACTTATTGTGTTAATTTATTAATGAAATTCAACTTCCTTATATATAGATACAAAATAATCAAAAGAGCGACTCATAAACTACATCTTCTCAAATTTTTAGAGTTTTAGAGCTTAAGGTATAGAAATAGTCAATAAATAAAGACTACGGCGTGTGGTCACATGCAGTACCACGCACACAGAGCGGACTGACCGCTGCGGCTGCTGGGTGATACACTTATTTATATTTACTTATAACCAAAGAAAGCAAGCTAAAAAATATTTCAAACATGTAAACCTATAAATTTTAAGCTGCTTTATTTAATAGTTTCTTTATTTTTTATTGTTAACTCTTTATTTTGTCTTCGTACTTTTTGACACCCGACTTTTGTACTCTCACTGCAAAAACTTTTCCTTTATTATTTATTTTGAATATTTTCAATATATCACTTAATTATTGGTTATGTTGGCGTTAAAAAATGTAAAACGTAAAAGGTAATACAAATTACTGTCAAACAGAATAAAACAATAATTACAAATGAAAGTATATATAATACGAGTAAACTTGTCACAAATCTGAAGATAACAATAACAACAGGTATTAATAAGAATAAACTTAATATAATAGAAAACATATATTTAAGCGCGAATTTGACTCTTAATTTACAACCTTTTTTGTTTTACTCAAAAAAAGAGTTAGAGATGAAAAAACAAACTATCTATCTAATAAAGCAACTACAAATCGATAGGCTTACATGCTTTAAATATTTTTTTAGCTTGCTTTCTTCGATTATGGATGAGTATAAAAAAGTGTATCACCCAGCAGCCGCAGTGGCTAGTCCGCTCCATGTGTGCAGCAGCGAGCGAGACCACGCGACGTAGTCTTTATTGAGTATTTCTACAGCTTTAGCTCTCCCACTCTAAAAATTTAAGGAGATGTAGTTTGTGAGTTGCTAGTTTGATAGGTCTGTATATATGTATATATATATATATATATACACATACTTTGAGTAAATTGACCTGAGCTTAAAACTTGATTTTCACTACTAAAAAATTTTTTTCAGGAAAAACAAATATCATCATCAGAAAAAGCAGGTCAAAATCTATTGATTCATGTCATCACATTTTTTTTTAGCGTGGACGTGATCATATATAACGCAACACATGATATGTCAAACAATAATATTTATATACATTTTTCAGTATAAATAATGAAAAGTATCCGTAAAGGTTTACCCCCGAATGAACTCAATTTAAGAGTTGGTGCAATAGTAATACTTAAGAATTCAAGTGTATCAAGCGCTTTATGCTAAGGTACACAATTAAAAATTACTAAATTTGTGAAGTACAACGTATAAGAAAAAATATCTTGGCAAAAAAAATTGGGTTAAAATAAGGAAGAAATACATCGAATTCTCCCTTCAATTTTGGGGGTGGCAAATCTTTTTATTTTATATACAGTAGTAGTAATCTGAGGCTAAATAATAACCCTCCCTACTTCACTTCAACCTCTCTACATCACTTTGAATGGTATTCCTCCGCAGCCCTCTACACATTCACATAAAAATATGCTTATTAAAATGTAATTTAAACAATGATAAACCCAACTGCCTCTTCCACACCAGCCCATCTATTACACGCTTTAACACATTCCCCATAAAAATTATTTAGACCTACCAGAAATAAAGAGAATAATTAGCTATTTTTCTGTTATTTAAAAGATTGGTGAGATTTTATGAGCATTCTGTTTTCATGAGTCTGATTTGGTAATACTCCAAAATTTAGAAAAACAATATGGCAATGAAATTCCCTCCTAATGCTTTTCTATTTGCCTCGGCTTTTACACTTAATTAGCAAGTGAGAGTGGAAAAATAGGCACAGACTCTCTTCAACCGAGATACTGCAAGGGTTATACGATGAACTGTAGATATCGATCGTTATTCTCTACTCTGACACCGGATGTAAGTATGTAAATTTTTACGGATAAGGGGTGTCTAGTGAGATAAAGAGAATAATTATGGTTAGTGTATGCTATGGGAGAACCTGTTTTGTAAGAGGCAAGTCTATGAGTGCGATGAAGTACATTGTCAAGTTAAGAAAAATTTTTATGCGTGTATGGGGATCAGATAATCGATGCATAATTTAAATGTAGAAGTATTAAAGACTTAAACAAATTTACGATGGACTCCACTAGGAAGTTGCGAGTGATTTTTCGAAAAAATCACGCGTGTTTTTTGTATAAAGCCCAGAAGCTCGTAGCACATGGAGATGACTTTACTGATATGGTCTTTGAAGGACCAGAAGGAGTCGAGAGTACACCCAGACCAGTTAGTAAATTAACCCCTTTTTTATTCCTTGTCGTTAATTGAGTTATTATAGTGTGATGTGATTTTGCTTTAATTAACTAATTAAACTATGCACATATCTTCAGAAACCGAGAATCCACTGTTGGAGCAACACAAGATCGCATTTAAGAGATCGGACTGTAGAAATAGAGAATCTGAGGTGATCAAGCAGTTTTGGTATAGGACTCAGTAGAACAATAGGTCTGTCGTTGTTAGCCCGTTGTGAGTTTTCAAATTTGTAGATAGATATAGAAATAGGATAGAAAAGTTTTTGGAGGTCCAAAGTGTTACAAATGCAAAAAATATGGGAAGCAGCTTGAAGTCGGTCAGGTAAAGCGTAGCCCGTAAGATG